CCTAAAATTCCTTGAATATAGTGAGGGTTTTCTTGATTTATGTTGCTTAGTATGGAACTAGATTAACAATATCATTGCATAGTTCTTTGAAGGTTGCATTTTAGTTTTCAGTGGGGTAGCACCATCTGGTAAAATCAAGCAACCTTACTTTAATTTCAAGTCTTTTGGAAGTTGAGGAAATTAGAATAATTTCTTGTAGAACTTCCCTCACTGTAAACTTTAAAAATTTTATCCTTTCCTCTTCCTCTTTGATTTAAAAGATTTTTTTTTTTTGTCCTTCTAATGTCATTCTACAGAATTTGAGTTCCTGATAAAACTGTAAGACTCAAAGTTCAATTGGCTTTTGGATGCCCTTAGGTCCAACTGCCCTTTTACATGGAATTTTTATTGTTAATCTTCTATTATTGGGGGAATTATTTTGCAAACAGACCAATTCAATTGCTTCAAGCTCTGAAACCTGTCAGGCTAGCTTTTATTCTGATTGCTTCTGATAAGGAGCTTTGGTAAGAATGCTGTGCCTCCAGCAAGTTGAGAGACTCACCTTGGAGGGGAACAGCTTCAAGGTCCCAGGGAACATATGGCGCTTTCAGCTTGTCATGAAAAGGGAAACTAGGTGTTGAAAATCAGAATCAAAACTTTGAATGAGGTGTGGGACCGCACTGCGAGCCAGTGGAAATGGTCTGTGTTATAAGCTGAGTCTTTTTTTCCCTGCATAATGATGAACTGAAGTTTGTTACAAGAGCTGGAGTCCCTGCTTCATTTCCCACGTTTTGACCGTAGGAAGATAGGGATCCCTGCTGCCATCCCCCACGGACAGGGTGCTGACGGGGAGCCCCGCAGGGTGGACCGACTTTGGCAGGACCCTCTGGCTGTTTTCTGGTGCTTGTGCACACAGGACACACAGAAGTCTGATCAGTCTCAGGCACTGATTTGACATATACAGTAACCTCTGTCCTGTCTGAGAAGATACTGACAGGTGATGTGGAGTCAAGGTGATGAGAGATCTCAGGAACCATATTCTGAAGCAATTTTATTGTCCAACCTGACCCTTTAAAAAAAAAAAAAGACATTTTTGTAGACACATGTATTATGCTTTTCCTCAGTGCCAGCTACCTATTAGTAGAAAACACCACAATCTTGTAGTGAGCAAGGAGATGCTTAAGGAACAACTCTTTCCTTTTAAGACCTATGCAAGAAAAGTATTTTCAGCACTGTTACATAACATAAGTATTAAGAAGACTTGCTATAATTCCATTTCAAAGAGCTTATAGTAAGTAAATGTTTTTCTGTATTGTCCTTAGTGTTGTCTATAAAACTTACATAAAAAGTGTCTGTTCATCAGACAGAGAACAGAGCCTTTCTGAGAAACTCTTCTCAGTGTGCTAAAGTATTGTTTGCCAAAGGCCGAGAAGGGGCTGCTGTGTTTCAGTGCAGCTGATCAAAGGGAGGGTTCCATGGATCTTCGTTCCTAGAGCGTTTTTCTAAATTATGCGTGCAGATTTTATTGTGCTACTTATGGGAGTAATGTGAAAAGCCAAAGCAAATTTCTGACCCTCTTTTGTGTTCGTGTAAAGCGTTACAGAATGATAGCATTTATTCCTTTGGACAGAAAATCTCTTCTGTAGCAAGTTTGTTCACTTGTTCTTTTTCTTTCAAACAGTGTGAGCTTACTGAGGGTTTGGGTTTTTTGTTTGGTGGTGGTTTTGGTTTTTGTTTGTTTTTTTTAACATTCTTCCCAGGGAAGGATAGCTTTCCACTAACACAGAGAGTTCTGTTTTCTCTATTAAAAACAACGGCCCTCAAGTGGAGTAGGCTTTGTAGTTTGTCCTAGAAACAGAGCTTTTCTTTCAGAGATAAGGCCTCTCTGCATTTAGGTTCCTTTAGTCACCTGACGGAGCCATTGGCAACTTCTAGGCTGCTTTAGTCTGCATTCCTGAAATACCTTACTCCTGGCACAGCAATTAACAGCTTCGGGTTCAGTGCTTGCCACCGGATTCCCCAGCTCTCTGCTTGCCCTCGGATGCTGCCTGGGGTAGCAGGAGAGCAAAGCAAGTGGTCAGGCTTTGCTTCCAACAGCACAAGCTTTGCACCTGTAACCATCATTGAGGATGTCGTTGTGGAATCATGAACAGGTAAAAAAAAAAAAAATCAGTTTGTGTCTGCAGCATTTTTAACTTTTATTTATGAATTTGAGAATTGTGAAATATTAGTACGATGGGCCAAATCTCTTCTGTGCTTAAACCATCCCCTTCAATTCAGTGACTGGTGATTTATGCCATAGCAATCATCAGGAGATTAGCCTGTTGTGCCTCAGGGTTTGCAATCTTATTAGCTCTTGTCTTGTTGCAAATAATCAAGCTAAAAGTCCTGTGTAATGATATTGATAGACTTGGGAAAATTAAAAAAGATCCCAAAACTTACAATTGGGCTTATAACAGATCAAGTGTAAGGTGCTGTATATGCTACTAAAATAGAGATTGTTGCCTTATTTCCAGAAGGTTCTCGTTTGTTTTGCGTTGGGTTTGCCCCTTATTTGACATTTTGCATCTTTTTTTCCCCTGAAAAATAGCATAAAACAGAGAAACAAGGATTAAGAATACTCTATACCTCAGAAAAATAATTATAAGTTACGTAGGTTGTCACAATGTAGTATTCTTTTCATCAACTCGAGAGAAGAACCTAGAGGAGTTGGCTGTGAATCCACATGGGCCTCTGGAAGACGTGCTTGGTAGGTCTCTTCCTAGCCTTAAAATCAGTAAATAGCCTGTATTAGATGAATAAGTGAAGACAGAGGGAAAGTTTTCATTTTTGACATAATGCTCGTATTTTAATACCTGTTCCTGCAGGCCGCCACGTGCTCCGGCAGGCAGGAGCTCTGCCTGCCCCGCTTGGCACGTGCCATCGGGGTGACCGTGGCTGTATGCTGCTGCAGCAGGTTCATCTAATGCAAACCTGCGTGGAAAATGTGGTGGTGTTAGGGTCCTTAATTTGTCACACTTCCCTGGTTCTTCATCACTCTGTCCACGAACAGCCTATTTTTCATAAGATTCCATTTTCTCCTACATTTTACTTCAGCTAATATATTTCAAAACTCAGATGTTTCTCTTTCCTCTGTTATAAAGCTACAGGGAAATTTTACTCATTGGAAACACAGACTGCGTCATTGAAGCAATTGCACAAAGGCAGACTGATCCAGTTCTAGCAACCGCTTTTCCAGTGCGTGACACTTGAAGTTAACTCAAACTCTTGAATTAATGAGTATCGTATTTAGTGCATGCCTACCTTAATTTTGTTAGCTAGATTGTCATATATCTGTTGTATTCCTGCAAAGAGAGACACTAGTAGCTAAGCTGAAACTTTGTTTAGCTTGTCACATACCTAAATGTAATGGACATACATATATACATGTATATACGTGATGTATGTCCTTATATTTAGGTATGTTCAATTCAGAAAGACAGTTTGATTCACAAAACAGCAACTCACAACAGCCTACTTCGCAGTTTCTCTGAGCGATGCTGTGTTTATCTCCACATGCTTCATTATGGAGAAAATATCGATGCTGTGGCAGATGTTGGTGTTGAAGGAGTGAGAATGATCACTTGTGCACTAAAAGATGGCCAGCACAGATGCAGTTAAAGGTAAAGGGAGCTTTTTTCAGTAAAGTCTGGAACAGCAGGCTCTTCACCACCCCACTTCCCTCGCAGCTCTGCCTGAAGCGCTAGCAGCCCATGGAGGGCCCTGCAGTTAGGGGTGCTCTTTGGGGCTGAAAAATTGTGGCTTGCTGTTCTTCTTTGTCATCGTGAATCGTGTTGGTGGGGAAGGATGGGAGCAGTGCAGGGCAATCAGGAGCTGAGGGAGAACGGACTGCCCTTGTCCTGTTCCTGATGGTAGGGCTGTCTTGGAGATCCTTGGAAGACTCAGACAGACATTTTCTGCCTGCATGGATTTATACCTGCCTTAGCAAAGTCCAAGGAGGGTGTCCAAGCCCTGTGGGATGTTTGGACCCTGCATTATTGGTCCCTTCCTCATGTGCGCTGAGGTTGGCCATGAAGACCCTGGCCTCAAGGGTGTATGAGCAGAGGGACCCACAGCATGAGGCCAGCCCTGGCAGCCTTGGAATAACAAATAGCGCTTCTGAAATGTGGAAAAAACCAAGCTGCTTCTGTAATTAAGGCAAACATCTCCTCCGTGGATGCTTTAAACGCCAGAGTTTTGGGGCATAAGCGCAGGACTGTCTTCTTTCACAAGCGTGTGCACAGTGTGGAGCCTGGCCCCACTTGGCTCAGCTTCTGTTAAATTCCCCAGCCAAGGAGAAGTGCATAGTTTCAGCTCAGCCAAGTGTTTGTTTTACACAAAAAGACTGCAGGGATCACTTTGGCAACAAAACTGACTGTTTTTCTAAATAAAAATCATTATCTTCTCAATCCTGCTAACAGTGTATTTCTGGAGTCAGGACGCAACAACCCAGAAAACAGACAAAGCAGCTTCACCTGCCTCCCCTAGCTCTGCTCTGCTACTGACCACAGAAAGGTGGCTTGTAATCCTTATCAGTTAGCCCAGTCACCATCCTGCTCAGGTGATAGGCATTGAAAGGACAAAAAAGTGTTCTTATTTGTTACAAGTTATATATTGTTTAGCTAATTTGATGCTATTTAGTGTTTGAGGGCAAAAGCTCCTTCAATATGCGGTTTGTGGTACGTGCTTAAGGACGTCCCTGGATCAAGGGACCCTGTATGCTGCTTGCATACACCAGTTAAAAATCTTTGCTAAATTGGAATACGACAGTCAATGTATTTGCTATTTTTTCCTTTTTTTTCTTTTTGTCTTTTCTTTTCCCTCTTAGATTGTGGCCAAGGAAGTCTTGAAATATGCCCCAGATTTAGTCTTCATATTAAATTGATTGCTACTCCAACAGATTGTTTCCGTTCTGTCCTCATCTGAGTCATTCATGCGCATGGTGCGTTCAGAGGTCTGGCGGAGTGGCAGCAAGCGCAGCCATGCATCACCTGTTTGGGCTGGTTTTGGCACAAAAGGACCTTTCACGTGCAGGGGATCTTTTCTCCTTAGAGGATGCTGAAATCGAAGCAAGCCTCTCGGAAGCTCTTGAACAAATAAGAATAATTAGTTCATCTGCGGTAAGTGAAACACTGTCCTTAATAATTTTTCGTGAGATTAAATGTATTGTGTAAATGTTAAAGACGGGGACATACACAATGTGAGTTTCTGAACAACTCGGTAATGCCGAGCAAAGTGTAAGAACTAAAAATGTGGTAACCAAATCCAGTTCCCACTATCTTTAAAGATATTTCAAGTTCATCTTTATAATAATATTTATTAAATAATTACTTAAGGCATATTAAAGATTAGCAGGAGGTCACAGGTACACTGTATGTATAGTATGTACTCTCTTCAGCAGAAAGTGTTCTGAGTGATGGTAGGCTCACTGATTTTGGTAAGCTCTTTAATATTGTTGTCCAAATGAAAAAAAAATTAAAAATTCTTTATCCTTCCTGCTTCCAATCTGTTGAAGGGAAAGAAAAATCTTTTTCAAGCCTTAGGATACTCAAATAGCAAAATGTGCATGTTCTCACAACTGCACTTTTCTGGCACTTCATATAGCATGTGATTTTAGAAATCAGGTTTGGCAATGTCCAACCTCTGACTCTCAGAGCGTTGATCACAGCGTTGCTGGTTGCAACCAGAACAGACTCATCCATCAGAACAGCCACTGTACCTGGCTTGTCTCTTTGCTCATTTCTTTGACAGCAGTTGCATCCGCACAGTCTTTCAGCACACTAATCAAGGTATTTTGGCTGTTGCCTCTGCAGTTTGTGATGTACTTTGATTCACCTAACTGCAGATTATCAGGAGTTTTACACAAATTCCCCCTGATATATTTTTTGAGAGAAAATGCCTGAATTCGTTCCAAAATGTTTTCACAAACACACGTCCACATTAGCACAGTGCCGTGCCCTACCTCCGAGCTGCTGAGTGGTGATTCCCACCAGAGGGCTCTGGAGATCGCTGCCCGAGCGGTCGGGATCTGACAGACGGGCGCATATAATTTTTCCCCAAATGTGAGGAGTTTCACAGCAGCATGGACAGGACCCCTCTGCTCTCTGTGTCCATGCACAGCGACTCTCGCCAGGGGTTTGCTCTTGTGCCATCCCAGCCAGCGGCTGTTAACTTGTTCACCCCTTTCTCAATGGGTAATCTTATACAAAAGAAAAAGCGTGTGAATTTTTCTGTCACGCCAAGCAAAGCTTGTAGAGAGCTAGCTGTGAATAAAGGCAGAGAATTGCTTTGAGACAGACCCAAACGTCATGGCTTCTGCCTGTGATAACACTGAGCTAACTCTGGAGCTGCACTTCTGTAAGCCAGTGCTGAACTTGGCTCCAGCCCTTTAAAAATGTCTGTGCTTTAGCTAGCAAAAACAATGACTTTTGATTATTACTTCAGTCTGTCTTCTATCTGTGTTACTTTTTAGGATGGAACAGCAAAGGTTAGACCAAGGGACAATGGTTGTGTATTCTGGGCTGTTTAAGTTACGGTGATGCGCTGCTGTTCATATCCACGTGGCATCTGTGTCAGTGATTATGGAGGATTACAGGACTTTGTGATAAAGCCTATTTAATTAACTCTTATTCATGTTACATTGGTACTAATTGAAACTAACTGTGTTTACATCAGGGACTTGACATGATGTGAAATATTTGGGACTCTGCATTTGGCTATACATCTATGTATATTGTGGGTATAACAATTCCAGTTTTGGTTTTAGGACGGTTATGGGAGAAGAGACCTGTGTGAGTGGTTCTAAGGTGTGTGGCTGCAGTCTCTGGTCAAAAAGACCATGCTTCGGGACAGACTACTAAAAAGCATTTGATAACATAATCTGTACCTTTACAATAACCAGAATTAAGACCTAAGCCAGTGAATTGTCTATGGGATGACTCGTTTCTGTGTTTAATAACACTAAACCTTTGTTGTAAAGGTTGAAGTGAGAAAATAGACACTGGACACTTGCAAAAACTTCATGTGTTCAGACTAGATTTGTGGGGTCCTCGAAAAGGATGGACATTCATTGGCAACTGTCTCTTCATTTGAACCAGGACTACCAGACCAATGACAATGACCAGGCTGTGGTGGAAATCTGCATCACCCGCATCACCACTGCCATCAGGGAGACAGCGTCCATTGAAAAGCACGGGAAAGCCCTCGTGGCTCTCTGGGAGTCGTGCCTAGAACACAACCTGAAGCCCTCTGGAAAAGATGAGGACACACCACATGCAAAAATTGCATCCGATATCATGAGCTGTATCTTGCAGGTAAGACTGAGCTGAAAGCAAAGGAGTGTAATGCATTTGTTGGCTACTCAGGTTTATCTTTTAAATGCAGTTGTACTTTGTTTTCTGATCATGCGTGGGAATGGTTGCATTTGTTTAAAACCAAGAATACAACCCCAGTTGTTATGTATACCGTTACATGCATATGGCATCTGTTGCAGTGAATCAAAAGTTTTGGCAGCTTTGTTATCATTAGAGGTGTCTTGACTGTTTAGTGCCAGATTTCATTATCTTAATGCTCCATTAATTCTAAATACTTGCATTTCATGTAAGTATTAAAGTGGGAGACAGGACTAATTTTCTGTGGTTACAGAAAGATTCATTTGAAAGCATTTAATATCAGGGAAGAGGTTATTCTTTTGAATTGTTCTGGAAGGCAGCAAAATGCCAAAGAGAGTTTAATGACATGAAATTTGGGTCATTAGATATGCTGTCAGTAAGGAGGATCTCCCTTTACATTTTGATTGTAAAAGCTGAGCCTAGATACAACACAGAAAACTGACCTCCGAACTAAAATCTGATTGCTACTACTCTAAATAGAGGACTAGAAAGAAGTTATTCTCTGGCCAGGACTGTTGGAATAATTCCTTAGAATATTTTACTAAATGTTAGAGGCAGCAACCACAAGACTGAAAAAGTATTTAGGTCCCAAAACACTTGCTAGAACAACAGCAAAAAGAAGACATCCTAGTATGTAGCAGCCTTTTGGGGATAGGATTGGGCTATTCTGAGGCTTTCTAAGAAAGTAAGCTGAGGGTGAAAAGCCATTTATAGCGGGAGAAGGGGGAATCTGGTATTAAATCAGGGTGAATTTGGGGTTTTGTTTGGGGTTTTTTTGTTTGTGGTGTGTGTGAGGTTTTGGTGGGGTTTTTTTTGTTTTTAAGTTGTGACTGCAGGCAATATCATTCCTTGTTGGGAAAACAATATAATACACTGGAGAGAGTCAAAGAGAAACCCATGAGCACAGTTATCTAACTGGAAGCAGAAATCAGGGTTGTTTCCACAGTTTCAGCTGTGGGCAAAATTCACAGGGACCAGCTCCAGAAACAGTTCTGTGAAGTGCCTTTCTAGACGGACTGCTCTGGGGTGAAGTTTGCAGTATATCTGCTGTTTCATAGTTGCTTTTTTTACCTCCGCCTTTTATATTGGGGGGGGGGGTGTGTGTTTTTTATATTAC